GCTTCGAGCGAGGAGAACGAATGCTTCCTCAATTTGTGGGTTACTGACTACGAAAAAAAACCAATGAACGTAAAAAAAACAAAATAAATGATTAAATGGTGACTTGCGGACCAGTCAATGACAGCGCTGCAGTGCCAAAAAAAGGACTCTAACTGACAGACAGATTCTCAGATGTCATTACTTGAATTGAATCAGTCAGTCAATGAGTCAAAATGCAATCAATAACATTGATGTTGAGTTTGAAGCACTGTCATGGACAATGGTGACAAAATCCCTCAATCAATGAGTGAGGTTTTGGTCGATCAAAACAAGTCGGGGCCTTAGCACTCATTAGCTTCAGTAATCTAAATCATTTTTGCTGCCGCGCTTGATTTTTTCGTTTGATTGACAATTGATTGTGAATCATGGCCCATTTCCATTGTTGCTATCTTGGTTATTGCCTCACTCACTGACTGAGGATTAGTTATGACAAACAATTGTCAAATGCCAAGGCTTGGTCTCAGACTGTTGTTTGTGAGGCATTGGACCTAAGTATATCTCTTCATACTATTATTACTTATTATTTGATAGTTTGGCCTGCGTCTTTGATACAATATGCATTATTATTGGCGGTTCACACAGGATTTGAATTCTGTTGGATTTAATTAATTATTATTTGTCGACAATTGAATTTTGATTCCAAGTGTCAAGTCAGCTGCAGGTATTATAATAATATTGAACTCCACCGGACGCTCTAACTGCAGGCTCGACCATTGCATGAGCATCACTGTCACTGTCAGTCAGTTACTGTTAGTCAATAATTCAAGCAACAGCATCAGCAGAAGCTTGAAATGGTTTTGCTTGATTGATTTCAGTCAGAGCCGCTTCAATTCAAGTCCAGTCAAGAAGATTTGCAATTCAAATGGAGCCCGAAGATTTGTTTCTGCTTGAGCAAGGACCCGCATCTTTCTCACTGACAATAATGATGCTGATCAAATCAGAATCAGAACCACCGCCAGAAACTCTGGTCTTCAAGAAATGGCGTGAGCAATTCCATGTTGTGTACGTATCAGACAAGCTTTGGACATCGGACAAAATGCTGCTTGAAGAGAAGGAGAAGTCCGGTTTCTTGCAACCAGTGCTGACAACACTGGGAATTGAATCGTTGAAGAATGTTGCTTCGTCATGTTGCTATGTCCTACAAAGGGACAGTGAATCAGGATGGTGGATCATGTGGTTGGCAGTGATGAGCTCCAAAAGTGAAAAGGTCGAACTGACTTTGCTTTTTCCACAGAGCAAAACAAAGGCTGCCTTTTGGACGGAAGGGATGCACAGCTACGTCCTCTCCGACTGGGATCTCTGCTTGGGTGATTCTAATTCCACTTATGATTCATGGGCCCGCCATGCCAACATCATCACTGAACTCGACAACGTGAAAAAGACTGAATGAGTGAGTAGTGATGCGCATAGACTTAGTGTGGACCAGCAGCAGTAAGAATGAAGCAACTTGTCAGTTTGATTTAGGTAGTGCTTCATTGACTTAGTCATCCAAGAGCTCAGCTGGTCAGTCACTGCACTCACTTTCAGAAGTTTTACCTGCAGACACAAGTCACTAAACTAACTAGCTGTTTAACTTGGAGAAAATAGTTTGATTTTGTTGTTCTTTTTGATTATGACACATTCACCTTGTATTTGTTATGGGCCAGTGACACATCAATAATAGGGGCCCTGTGTTGCTCCAGGTGCTTTGGGTGTTGAAAGAAACTTTTGTTGGGATCGAACTGCCCTGCGTTTACTCTATCGGTGTGGCCACAATCAATCACAAAATACCAGAGCGATGTGCAATGTGTCTGTTAACCGATGGAGGGTTTCTTCACGGTATGTTAATCACGGCAGAAGTGGATTTCAATGTCTTGGAACTATAGTGCATCTCTGGCCAATGACACCTGAGTGTGACGATGATGTGCCAGTGGTGTGCACTGATTCCCACTGTCAAGGCCAGGACTGTGTGGGATGATATGCCATTTAGTGTGCATTGATTGATTCCCCGGTCAAGTAAGTGCACTGCCAGGGCAGGCTCCACTTGTCATATTACAGCATCCCAATTTTTCAAATACAGCATTGGACAGTGTGAAGTTGAAAAGTGATCGCCTGATGATGAACAATTCACCATTTGTAAACTTGAGACTTGACTGCAGAGTTAGATTTGTGCAATGCACTTGGAGTTAGGTTTAGTTCTTGAATCAACTTGGCTTGTCAATGTGAGTGTGTTTGGAAAAGTGTTTGGCTCAATAAAAGCTCCCGTTGAACCGTTGGGTCGCGAACCATTGCAGCTAGTGACTCAGTAGACAATCCAAGTCTACTGACCCTGGTCCTGAATATTATATAGCTGACTCTCACAATTGAGGTCGACAAGGAGATGTCTGACGCTGGTGCCACTGATGGCAGGACCGAAGCAAGTGCTGATGCCGCGCCAGACTCAGTGTGAGTCATGATGAAGTTAGACTGTCGCACAAGAGTCGTCTTAGAGTCTTTGACTGATTCATTGATGCTGTTGTTTTAGGTGCTTGCTACTTTGTCAGAGGCGGCGAACTTAGGGTTTGAACTTTGATTGATTTCAACAGGACATAGTTAGTTGATTGAACAAATTTGCGATGTTACTGCTGAGCCTACTGTTTCTCAGGCTGAGTCCAAAAAAGTGATTTCGTTCCAGATCGGGACGAAACGAGCTTACGAAAAAGGCGCTGGGCTCAGATTGAATGAACTTGACTTAGTCTGAAAAACCTGCATATGTCGAGGTCGAATAAATCAATTAGTCTGTGAAGCTGCTCAGGATACGCATTCCAGTATGTGTTCCTGAATGAGACGAATGGTGTCTCCAAATATTTATGCAATCAAGCCAGTTCAACAGGCCGGCCAAGTTGTGAATTCAGAAACTTTCCTTAGAATAACTGTGACTTATCATTCAAATGCATACTATATTATATGTTGTTTTGTTCAAGATTGTTTCAACTTTCCAGGCCGCCCGGGAGAAAAACTGCTGTTGCAGTATGGCACAATGGATGGCCATCCGACTTGGATGGCATACGAGGGGACGTGGAATGAAGAATCTGGGCAGTTCCAGGTCCGACAGGCGGTCTTTCAAACAAGAGACACCACAGTATTGTCTGAGGGGGGCAGACATTCTTGGCAAATGAATGAAGCGGCATCGAAAGAGGCAGAGCCGCCGTGCTCCCCGGCAAATTGGCAGGGGGACCTGGGCTGCGTCACGAAGAATGTGATGCGCTCAGGCGTGTAGAATGATTGTCCGAGTGTGACATGATTTCTCAATTTTGATGGTTCCTGCATCAAGCGTGTGGAATGATCGTCCGCGCAAAGTTTGTGACGTGATTTCCCATATCAGTGCTTGATTTTAAAGCAGGATACCTTGCTGATGCTGATGTCGCCTTTGAACTTGTGAGTTGCAAAACATTCAGATTGATTTAGGTCACGTGTCACAGTTATTTTCATTGTCACAGCAGTTTTAGCTGCCCACTGCTACTCAAAGGCACTGCTGGCCAATCCCGGAGGCGGTTCAACAGATTTTGGCAATTTGATGAATCTATCGTCAAACACGCCGCGCCAATGGATGAAAATGAAAAAGGGATATCATGATACATTAAATGACTCTGAGGCTGATACTGCTCACTTAGTCAAACTCATGATGACATGACATGATGGATTATGACGATTCCGGATGAATTGATATGTGCAATCGTGCACTTTTATTTGATTTGAATTTTTAGGAGTTCCGATACAGTACAGCAGCTCTTGATTTGTCACTTAACTATTTTAGCACAGCGCTCAAGTACAAGAGATTCGGCAGAGCCAGGCCATTTAGTGACTCAACACTCTTGATTGGGTTGGAGTATATCGCCAATTGGACCACTTTGTAGTGACAGCCAGGGCTTATGATCTATGGAAGCGACAAAAAATTGTTTCTCTCATCTTATCTTGCAAATGAACAAGACTAGCGCAGCCAATAACAAGATGGGCACAAGGCTCTTGTCCGTCTTCGCCCCTGCAAAGTCAGGGTGATGCTATGGTCCCTATCATCATCCTGACTTTCCAGAGACGAATCGAGACATGTTTTTGCTTGTCAGAACATGACAACAATTGCGAATCAACGTCCAGCTCCAGACCTGCTGGACATAAGGTTGGCAGGCGGTGTGGCCCTGCTGCATATTAAGAATCACTGCTGTCCCGCACCTTTCAACTCGAGAATCGGTTGTGACATCGGTTTGGCTGGGTCATGCAGTTTCGATTTTGCGACAAGAAGCTGACAGCCATATTCTGGCATTGTACACGAGCATGCCACGTCGTATTGCCATCAGATCCTAATGGCAATCCTGCTGCACGTGGCTATAGCTCATGCAGTTTGGAGTTTAGAACAAGAAGGTTATCTCTAACTGCTGATGGTCCAGGAACCAGGAAGTTTGTGTGGAATGATGGTCCAGTTTGTGTGACCTGATTTCCCTTTTTTAAAGTAAAAGGGAAATCAGGTCACACAAACTGGACCATCCTTTGAAACGTTCATTTTCTGTCTCCGCTTGCTTGAAAGACCAGACCAGGTGAGTTTTTTGAAAGTTTTGTTGTCAGAAATTGTGGAGACAGTTTCTGTCTCCACAATATCTGACAGAATCAGGGAGGCATTGAGTGAGGGAATTTCCATCAATTCCATCACTCAATGCCTCCCTGATTTGCAAGAGAGGCATTCAGACATTTGCTGGACCAGAACTCCATTGACAAAGACTTTGACCAAAGCCTGACTCCAGTCCCAGCAGCTGAGTCAGCAGCTGAGTCAGGAACCAGGAAGTTTGTGTGGAATGATGGTCCAGTTTGTGTGACCTGATTTCCCTCTTACTTACAGCCATGGGCTTTGGAACGATCATGATCATATAAGCGATGGTATTGTCAATACCTGTCAGTCTGTCGCGTGTGGCTGTTCTCCCATGATCTCTCAAGGTCACAGTTCCACTGGGAGACTGAATCAATGCTCCACCAAGGTCACTGCTGGCTGGTGGTCCTGCTCCCATCCAGCAATGATGTTGGTTGTGAGTTTACAGTGAATTGTCACTGTGATGGCCGACGGTGAGGGGTCGATTTGCAGTACAAACCCAGCAGATTGGGGCCACCTGTCACTTTATGCGATTATGACAACAAGGACAATGGGTAACTTGTCAGGACGTCTAGCTTAGCTCAGCTGACAGTTTGTGAAATCACGTCACATTGCGGACGATCATTCGACACCGCAATGTGACGTGATTTCAGAATACTGAGTGACTGTAGACAGGACAAAAATCAGCAGCCGATTGGTGCGGTGCTTTTAGTCACTTCCAGTCTGTCAAGACACACGTTTACATTACATGGAATCTGCATGGATCCGAAGCTGATGTCTGTCTTGAATCAGCATTCCTATGCTGCCATTATCACGCCTTCATTTACTGGCTCAAGTCGTGCAGCAATTGTACATTAATCCAGTAACAGTAGTCAGTGATGTCGTCAGTGGACCCTTTGGTGCGTTCGTTCAAGCGACAACTTGTTGCCCACCAGCTTCTTGACAAATATGTGGCCCTGTCAGTGTTCCTGGACCAGTATGTCGCAGCACCAAACTACTTGCTCCGCATGTCTGCAAACCCACAACTGTCAAAGAGAGCATGGGAGAGAGTCATGTATCATGCAAGGAAGGCATTCAGACATCTGCTGGACCAGAGCTCCATTGACAAAGACTTTGACCAAAGCCTGACTCCAGTCCCAGCAGCTGAGTCAGTCAGTACAAGCTGATTTGATTGGCCTGATCCAAGACTGGTATTAAATACCATCTGAGCAAGTGTGTGCTGATCGACTGTGAGTATGTCAGTAAGTAAATGCACCGTATTTAATTAGTTTAATTGATTGTTGCTTACTAGCAATTCAATTCAAGACTGCGTATCATCTGATTGATTTGACAAGTAATTGTTCCCAGACTGTTCAAGTGAAGATTCGAAATTTCAATTCATTTAATTCAGTGCCGATGCTGCCAACTGGCCACCGAGTTGAAAAGGTTGCTGATATTCTTTGCCTGCAAGAGTCAGAGACATTCATTTCAGACTCTCACATTTGAGAAATCGGTTTCAGTTGTCTGAAATGATAAATGCTATTCATGAATGTGTTCAGTCATTGGCTCAAAAATCATCATCAGTAGCAGTCAGCAGAAATTGCTGCTGGACTTTATAACTGTGCTTTTCCGATCCCAATGTCGGTCACTCAGCGGTCCAAGAAAGCCCGATTGACTCATCAGCAGATGGCGATATCTTCGATGTTCCAGCCTGGTATGAATCCTATGGCCATGATGAATCCGATGGCGATGATGAATCCCGCCATGGCGGCCATGTTTCAGCAGATGTCAAACCCCTCAGCCCCATCTGGATTGACGATCAATCTGCCAGCTCACACAGATGATGCTCTCGTCGAAGGAGGAGAAGAGCAAGGTGAAGATGGCGGTGAGGATGAGGAACATGGGGAAGATGTGCATCAGGCCGTTTTGACAAATGAGAGTCAGAGGGCAGCAGTGACTCCAAAGAAGTCAGCGCCACCAGTGAGACCAATGTCGTCAAACCCGACAGCAGGACCCTTTCCACAGTCTCAGACAAAGGAGCCTCAGGAGGAGACTTCTGATGTCATCAATGAAGCAGTGTCCCGGGTCATGGCCACCAGGAACGCGCTTTTCAAGGCTACAAAGGGAGAGATCCCGATCCCGCGGAGCATCAAGTACTTAGGTGCAATGCCGAAGGCGCGCTCTCATGATAAAAATGTATGACACAGCCCATTCTGATTCTGTGAGGATACGTGTTGCCAAAATTGTTTGATATGATTGCCCGATTGTGTGGCATGATTATCCACCATGACTGAGTTTGACAGTCAGATGCTTTTTTTTTGGGTGGGTCAGTAAAAACAAAAGTGTCAATTCCTGTCAGGTGAGGCTATCTCAGGCCATTGAGGCATGCGACCCTGACCTGAATGCCACAGCCACATCAAGTCTGACTGAAGACGGGTTGCGACGAGTTCTTTGGTGTTTGACAAGGCAACGACCACTTGTGCCGATGAGTGGTCTTCAGGTGACACTCTACAACGAACTGTTCGCCAGATTGCTTGTCCGTCATCAGCAACTTGTGCGTCGGACCGTGAATTCCCAGTCGGACTCACTTGTTGACTCACTTGTTGGACGACAATGCAAGGATCTGAAGAATGAAACTGAATTGGTTGACAGTCTTGTCAAGCAGCTCACTGACTCTTGGGGTTTTGATCAGGGGTGGCTTGATGAACTCCATGCGATTCTGAAGAGACATGCAGAAGCCAAGACAAAATCCAGGGCAAAGGCAATCGGAGCACCTGCTGCAATGCCTGAACTTTTGCAGGCCAGACCATTGATGCAGGCATTTGCCAAGGCTGGGGCACCTGCACCTCGTGCTGGAGTGCTGAGGCAGCCTCCCACGGCAGCGCCAGCACCTGCGGCGGCAGCGCCAGCACCTGCGGCAGCGCCAGCACCTGCGGCAGCGCCAGCACCTGCGGCAGCGCCAGCAGCGCCAGCACCTGAGCCTGAGTCGTTAAGGCCTTCAGTGACTTCAGATCCACCATCAGTGCCTGATGATGCCGCAGTGACTGCTGATGCCAGCCAGCATGTGGAGAGTCGTCATGTGGAGAATCAGTCTGTGTCAGTGCCTGAGCCTGGAGAAGCCTTCGAAGCCGGTGAGGACTGATATTTTAAAAACAATTCTGTCTTGTGAAATCTTCGGGAGTACTGCCATTGTTATGTTGCATTTGGTTTTGCTTTGGGCAGGCAAGTTTCCATTCTCAGCATTTCATGTTAGTTGGGCTGGGTTTGAGGGAATGTTTGTCAGGATCTAGGCCATGTTGATCAGCCAGAAGACAGTGATTTGCCTCAGTGCTGCATTTGCCAGAAGATCATGAATCACCGCACTGAAGAGCTGATGGCGCTGGAGTGCTCCCATGTCTTCCATGTTGCTTGCATCACTGAGTGTTGGACGAAACTCGGCAAGCCACAGTGGTGGTGCCCATACAAGTGCACGGAGCATGTAAGCAATGTAGAGGACGATGACTGGGTCATGGGCAATAATGACGATTCAGCAGTTGGCGCTCCTGAGCAACCCCCCCAGAGAGGGTTGTTTTTGAAATCCACGGGATGCCTTCCCCCAGATAGACACACGACATGTGATTGAGACACTTGAGAGGTGCTGTTGGTTACATTGCATGTATCACTAATTGAAGTTCCAAATGAGATGTTACTATCACATTGAAAGTTCGGTTTGCTTAGTATCTTTTTGTCCAATCTCTCATGTGTCTGTGTCATTTCGCTTCAGTGTCTGGGCAAGAGCCCTGTGTGGTCTGATGGCAGACCTGTGTGTGTCCTGATGCCTTTGTCACACTACTGGTGTGATGCACCAATGGCGCTGTGCGTGCTGATTTACTGATGTATGTAATGATGCACCAGCAGTCATTATGATGCTACTTAGCAGTAAGTATCTGAATACTTGTGCAATTTTTGATGCCTTCGTCACACTACTGGTGTGATGCACCAATGGCGCTGTGCGTGCTGATTTACTGATGTATGTAATGATGCACCAGCAGTCATTATGATGCTACTTAGCAGTAAGTATCTGAATACTTGTGCAATTCTTGTCGTCCGGTTCACTCTTTCACTCACATCAGGGTTCCCTCACTCACAGGCAAAAAAGTCAGCGCCTAGCAGCGGAGCCGGCAATCATGATGTTCAATGACATTCCCTGTATCGCAGTCGGTCTGGAAATAACACATTCATTGAATTCATCCATTCATTCATTCATTCATTCATTCATTCATTCATTGTTTTTCTTGCAACATAGATTCCGGCACAAAGTGACAGCAATTTTGCGCACCAACATTTACACATTAGATTATTATTGAAACATAGTTTTCGATTATTGAAACATTGATTTGATAAAATACTGTCATGTTTGATGTGCATTTTCATGTTTATTTATTAATGGTGAAAAATATGATCAGGTGAAGAAAGATCGCAAAACAAAGGGGTGGGTTCATCACAATTTTGTAACATCTGAAAATGTGGTCACTTGATTGTTGATCATATATTTTTAGTTTTTTTCCTCAAAATTTGTGATGCACCCACCAGATTTTTTTTGCCAAAAATAGCAAACAAATGATTATTTTTGGCCAGCAATTGTCCTCAAATCACATTGAATGTGTGCATTTTTTTGCAAGTTGATGCAAACAAAATACTCTATCAACTGACTTATTTTTTTAAATTTTCCTTTACTTTTTGTTTAGTTCATATTTTTTTTGGTCAAAATTTGTGATGCATCTCAGATTTTTTAAACCATAACTAGCAAAAAAAATGATTATTTTGGCCTGGCAATTGTCCTCAAATACATTGAATGTGTGCAGATTTTTGCAAGTTGATGCAAAAAAAAAGCCCTATCAACTGACTTTTTTTTCTCATTTTCTTTTACTTTTTCCTTATTTTGCCTCATTTTTTCTCATTTTTTCTTGTTTTTTCTTATTTTTTCTCATGTTTAAAAAAACTGTAAAAAAATAAGAAAAAATAAGAAAAATAAGAAAAATAAGAAAAAATAAGAAAAAATAAGAAAAAATAAGAAAAAATAAGAAAAAATAAGAAAAAATAAGATGGGTTGGCCGATCAAAAATAAGAAAAAATAAGAAAAAATAAGAAAAATAAGAAAAAATAAGAAAAAATAAGAAAAAATAAGAAAAAATAAGAAAAAATAAGATGGGTTGGCCGATCAAAAATAAGAAAAAATAAGAAAAAATAAGAAAAAATAAGATGGTGACACGGTGCCATAACAAAGGAGTTTTGACCCATTCTGCAAACTTTTGACGAGCCGAAGGCGAGTCAACGGTGAGTGTGCAGCAAACATTGGCGTGTTCCTTTTTTTGAATGGGGTCGAAGCCAGGGGGGGTCTAGCCAGGAAAGGTTTTTTGTTCATGGAAAAAGGTGAGTCAAGAGAGTGAGTGGCAAATTTGCAATTGCTGATCCTTTTTTTTGAAGCCAGGGGGGTCCAGCTAGGTGACTTTTTACTTTTCGATGAAGCTGAAGGTCTCTCGAAACAAGCCCCCATAACTAAACTAGTCTGTTTGTGATGGTGAAATCCAAAACCCTAAAACTAGTACGGTGAAAAAAGGGCAGCACTAAGCCGCTACCATGTAACATAGGCCCCGAGGGGACAAATTTTGTCTACTAACTAGTTTAAGTTAAGTCGTATGGTAAACCCTAATAAATAAAATATATTATAGTAAGTCAAGTGAAAAAAGGGCAGCGCTACCGCGTAGGCTAGTAGGCCCCCAAAGGCCACATAGTAGTATTGTCTAGACTATGTTTCAATGCTAAACCCTAAACTAGTAAGTGAAAAAAGGGCAGCGCTACCGCGTAGGCCCCCGAGGGGCAACAAAATATTGTCTAGACTATGTTTCAATGCTAAACCCTAAACTAGTAAGTGAAAAAAGGGCAGCGCTACCGCGTAGGCTAGTAGGCCCCCAAAGGCCACATTAGTAGTATTGTCTAGACTATGTTTCAATGCTAAACCCTAAACTAGTAAGTGAAAAAAGGGCAGCGCTACCGCGTAGGCCCCCGAGGGGCAACAAAATATTGTCTAGACTATGTTTCAATGCTAAACCCTAAACTAGTAAGTGAAAAAAGGGCAGCGCTACCGCGTAGGCCCCCAAAGGCCACATTAGTAGTATTGTCTAGACTATGTTTCAATGCTAAACCCTAAACTAGTAAGTGAAAAAAGGGCAGCGCTACCGCGTAGGCCCCCGAGGGGCAACATAATATTGTCTAGACTATGTTTTAATGCAAAACCCTAAACTAGTCACTAGTAAGTGAAAAAAGGGCAGCGCTACTGCGTAGGCCCCGAAGGGCCCCAAAAGAAACAGGATAGTGTATGTTACAATCCTATTCAAACCCTACTAAACTAGTTAGTCAGTGAACAAATGGCAGCACTAGGCATTTGTTTTTTCTGCCCGGGGCTCACTGTAAATGTAACTGTAGCTGAAAACTTACTTAAGTACAGTAAGTAACTATTATTTCAGTAGGGAAGTTTCTATTTATTATGGTGTGTGCAGTAACACAGCAGTTAAATTAAAGTTAAAGACTCTTGAAAGGACCAAGGATGTAAGAATTAAGTTCCAGGATACCAGCAACACAAAGTTAGTAAAGATAACAACATTACTTTGAGTGTAGGCCAAACAAGATTTATTTAATCTAGTTAATAATCAAACAAATAGTTTCAAAAGTGTATATTAAATATATTAATCAAGTTCGATCAAATCCAATTAATACCCAGCTTGTTACATTTACTAAAGTGCTAGATTAAACTTAATTTTGAATAATTGAAATAGCAATGATCATTCAATTTGCATTGCATCACTTAATTAAATTGAACTCTCAATGCAGAACCCTGGACACTAAGACACGTTGCGTATCCCCTTTTGATTACTTTGACAAAGTGGATGTATTTATTGTTTTTTTTGGGAAGTAAATGCGCACATGTATGTGTTTGTTCTGTTGGCAGTTGGGTTTTGCCCCTTAGCTTGAGACCTGTACTGTAAGTCAGCCAGAGAGCAAGAGAGTGTAGTAATAGTAGTAATGAGCCCCCCTCCCTTCCCGCCTGAGACCTGTAGGTTGGCTGAAAGAGATTTTGACAAAAGCCCTCAACAAACCAAAACCCCCACACTTCACACTCACTACTAAATTAAACCCGGTGAACTCCCTCATCCCTGAACCCTGAAACCTCTTAACCCCTTTTGAAACCCTAAATCTCTCAGGGACCCTGTACCTTTAATATTTAAACGTTATGTTTGCAACCTGCAGTAACAGACATAAGACATACTATTCAATTTCGACATTATTTAGTAAACTCATGAGAGTGGTGGTAATTTTTTGTAGTCCCTTGCTTTCTAATAATATATTTTTTAAAAGTTGGCTTGACACTATGTTTGTCTAGCTGAATAGCACAATGAACATTGCTGTTCACCTTCTTGAGACATACCTGGAAACTCCAATAATAAATACCCTTTTATTTTTGCCCTTAAAAAGGCGACTTTGCTGGGTCAAAGGCGCCTTTTTGGGCCTGCGGGCGTTTTTTGATGTATGCTGGCAAATTTGCCTCGCATGGTTTTAACGATATTTTTTACTTTCGGAGCCGGCGTGATTACCCACAATTCCCGCGTAATTGCCCGCAAATCCGGTGTAATTGCCCCTAATTCCGGCGTAAATTTTCATAGGTCAGCTTTGACAAGTTTAAGTTTGAAGAAATGAAGCAGGTATGTCCGGCGGTTATTTTTGGCATTCCGCTGGCGTTTTTGGAGCAATCCGGCGATTCAATTTTACCAGCTTCCGGCGTAAATATCAAGCCAAAATTGTCCTCCGGCATGTTTTTTTGCCAAAAGAGTTTCTAGGTATGTTTTGTCTTATTATAATAAATTATTATTCTGGTTTGCAGACTCAAAGCTGAAGCACACAAATAATTGCATGCATATGTGTATCTTGGAGACAAGCGAATCGATTATAAACAAGATTGTGATTGATTGATACGTGTAACATTGTACTTACCAAAGCCATCCGCACATTGACCCAGTCAGCCATGGCAGTACGACAGCGCTCAAGGAGCAGATGTGCATGGACCACAGATGGCAGGCAGTGTGCACACAGTGACAACAAGATCAATCAATTGTTCGATCAATGGAGTGCTGCCACTGATTTGAGCAGTCCTGAGATTTGTGCTTGGGATAAGTTTCCAACTATTCATGATTCGAAAAGGATATGTGCCAAACACTTGGCATGGCTGAACGATCAGATCAAAAAGTTCTTGCTCTATGATGCACTGTATTTTGATTCACAATGTGCAAAGTCGTGGAAACCTATGCTTCAGCTAACGTTTCCTTGGATGGAATGGATGCAAATTCATGACATGTTGTTCGCTCTAGTTTGCCGAACCTTGCACAACCGGCATATGGGAACTTGTTCCCTTGATTACATCGAGTATTTCTCAGGTCAAGCTGAACTGTCCAAATCGGGGATTAGATTTGGTCTTGAAGGCAGAAGCTTTGACTACATTTACACCTCAGAACATGATGCGTTGTCAAGACGCGGCTTGCGGCTTTTTTTAGCAGCCTTGGCAGGGACAAAGCCTCTTTCATTGACATG